AAGAAAAAAAAATGATGCTTAACATGGACTAATAAGAGCACAAGACTTACTTGTATTAGGGCCAATAACAAAATATGAATAATTATTTTTTTGGCACTCTTCAGTTCCCGATGCCTATATTGGAGATGGACGAGGGTAGATGTGATATATGTCGAATTAGTACTCAATTTAGAGAAAGAAACTCACATTTGCTAGTAAAAAAACATTTCCAGCCTCTCAAATGGATGAGAGAGAGAAATCCCATATTTTTCCCAAGTCTTGTAAATTCAACTACATTTACAATATCTTATCTAAGAATATTATACAATATGAAACATTTATACATGTCCATGATGCATCCTTGTACCCATCCATATTCAACTACATTAGTGTTTTAAAAAGTGCACCTAGGCGCTAAGCGAAGCGAGGCGAGGCGAGGCGAGGCGCAGAGTCGGCGCTCGAAGCAGACGAAGCGAGACGCATTGCGAGAAGTGCACGTAAGGCGCTGAGGCGTGTGCCTTTCACCTAGGCTCAAAGTGCACACTTCATGGGCTTCAGCTAGGCCTGACCTGTTTTGTGTTTGTGTACTAGCCACATAGGATTAAAACTCTTATACAATACAAATTTGTTAGTGAGCTTGTGCGAATCGATGAAGCCCTAAATCTGTTGTGACCAAAATTTCGAATCAATGAAGCCCTAAATCTATTGCGACCAAAATTTGAGCTTCGACATCGACGTGAGCCTCGACATCGATGTTGTCTTCAGGTTCGTCTCTTTCGTTTCTTCTTCTCTCTTCTCTTCTTCTTCTTCTTCTTCTTCTTCTTCTTCTCTGTTTTTCCGTTTTTCTCCTCTTCTTTCGTCTATCTTTTCTTCTCTTCGTTGGTTTCTTATTCAATTTTTTTTTTTTTTAAATTCTTTCTTCTTCATTTTTTTATTCTTCTCTTCTCTAGTCTTTGTTTTTTTTTCTTGCCTTTTCTTATCCTGTAAAAAAAAAATAATAATAATAATAATAAACATCTTGTTGAGTCAAATGTTGAGTGCTGAAAGTGGAAAGAAAGATCCAGTATGGAAGCATTCAACAATGGTAAATCTTAGAAACCTAAGTAAGCTCAAATGCAATTTCTGTAGAAAAGATATGAATGGGGGTGTCTGTCGAGTTAAGCAACATCTTGTTAAGAGAGTATAGGAATGTGACTAAATGTGTTAGACGCCCAACTGAGGTTAGAGATGAGATTTCTGAGTTTATGGCTAAAAAAAAGCAAGTTAAGGAGCAAATCAACTTGATGCCCGATTTTGATGATATGGTTGATGAAGAAGATTTTGAGGATGAGGATGATCTTGTAGAACTCCCTCAGCATGGTAAAAAGTCCACTCCTACTCAAGGTTCTACTCAAAGAACCAGCTCTAGTTCTGTTCAATCCAAACTTAAAAGGCCTAGGAAGATAGGGCCTATGGATTGTTTCTTCACACCTGATCCAGATGTGGTGGCGCAAAAACAAAAAGGCAAGGGGAAGCAAAGTAAAATTGATGAAAATGATCTCTATAGGAAAGAGTTAATGGAACGGGCATGTGTTAGAATTGCAAGATGGATGTATGACGCTGGGATTCCTTTCAATGCAGTGAATTATGACAATTTTGGGCCAATGATTGACGCTATAGGACAATTTGGTCCTGGATTGAAACCACCAACTTACTACATGATACGAGTTCTTTACCTCAAAAAAGAAGTGAATCACGTTAACAAATTGATGAAGGAACATAGAGACGATTGGGCAAAGTATGGATGTTCCATAATGTGCGATAGTTAGACAGATAAGAGAAATAGGACTTTGCTTAATTTCTTAGTGAATTTTCCGAGAGGCACCATGTTTATTGAATCCATTGATGTATCTAGTTACTCAAAGGATGGAAATAAAATGTTTAATTTGCTTGATAATTTTGTGGAGAAAATTGGAAAAGCTAATGTGATCCAAGTCATCACGGATAGTGCGGCAGCAAATGTGTTGGCAAGTAAAAATCTTTAGAAAAACTTATTATGTTATTAGTTTGCAACATAAATCATTTTGTTTCATATCATGAATTTTGTGTTCTGGTTGTTACTTCTAATAGGGAAGTTTTTGGAGACAAAGAGACCCCACTTGTATTGGACACCTTGTGCAGTCCATTGTTTGGATTTGATGTTAAAAGATATCTTCAAATTATCCAATTTTAAGAAGACATTTGACAGGGCAATTGGGATGCATGGTTACATTTATAACCGACCATCTTTGTTGAATATGATGAGGCATTTTACTCAGTTGAAGGAGTTAGTTAAGCCTGCCAAAACTATATTTGCAACGGCTTTCTTAACTTTACAAAGGGTTTATCAACAAAGGAACAATTTGAGAAAGATGTTCACTTCAGAGGAGTGGACTAAAAGCAAATGGGCAAAGGAGTCACGGGGTAAGAAGACAGCTCAAATACTACTAATGCCTTCATTTTGAACCATTGTCACCTTGCCCTCCAATTTTCATGACCTCTTGTTCATGTACTAAGAAAGGTTGATGGTGAAGAAAAGCCTCCAATGGGTTACATTTATGAGGCTATGGATAGGGCTAAGGAAGCTATTGCAAATAGCTTCAATGGAAATGTAGAGAAGTACAAAGATGTGTTTCAAATCATTGACCAAAGGTGGAATGCTCAATTGCATCGCCCTTTACATGCAGCTGGGTTTTATTTAAATCCAGAATTTTTTTACAAAGATCCAAGGGCTGCAAAGCACAAAGAAATCGTATCAGGCCTATATCAATGTATATCAAGGTTGATCCCAGTACTAGAGGTCCAAGATAAAGTTACTGCAGACTTGAAAAAATATGAAAATGCTAAAGGACTTTTTGGAATACCTATGGCAATTAGACAAAGAACTACAAGGGTACCAGGTGATCTATGTTCATCCACAAAATTAAGTTAGTAGTCAATTCCTTATAATTTAATTATTTGTGAAGTGTTAACTAATAATCATTTACAGCTGATTGGTGGAGTTCTTATGGTCATGATGCTCCTAAGTTGCAACAATTTGCCATCAAAGTTCTTAGTCTTACTTGTAGTTCATCTAGTTGTGAGCGGAATTGGAGTGTGTTTGAACATGTGAGTATCCATTGTCAAATTTGGGGAACTCTAAAATTTTTTTCCAAATTTTTTTTAGTTATATATGAATTTAAATGTTTTTTAATTTATTGTTGCAGCTTCATAGCAAAAAAAGAAATAGGCTAGCTCAAAAATATCTCAATGATTTGGTGTTTGTCAAGTCTGATAGAGCATTGAAACGTCAATACATTTCACATGGCAAATTTGATCCCATATCTTTGAAAGATATTGATGAAAGCAATGAATAGCTGATTGGGAGGATGGAGAATGAGCTTGTGTTTGATGATGATGATAATTCTTTGAGGTGGGATGATGTTGCTGTAGCTGTTGGAGTTGAGGAAAGTAGCCAAAGAACTAGATCAACCACAACTAGGACAACTCCAATTGGTTCAAGCTCACGTCGACTTGTAGATGAGGAAGAGGAATGGGAAGATGTAGATTCAGATGAGGAAGAAGCGGGGGATGTGGAGGGATATAAATCCAATGATGATGAAGGAGATGATGGAGATGACGCTTATTATGAAGTTCTTAGGACAATGCATCCATGGAACTAGTCACTAGATGTTTAGTTGTTTTCAACTTTGTGGATTATTATTAAGTTCTTATGTTTGTTGTTTGATGTTACTTTCATGGTTTTTGGAATATTGAAAACTGTTTTGTTCATTTTGGAATTCTATAAATATTTGCTTATGTTGAAAATTGCGCCATATATTGTGCTATATTGATATTTTGCTTAACTTCTATAATTTGCACTTCGCTTTGGTGAGTGCACGCCTCACCTCGCGCCTCGGCGCTTAGGCTCCAGGTGACCTTGGCGCCCCGATGTGCCTAGAGCTTTTTAAAACACTGAACTACATCCTAAAATTTATGAAGGTCTGACACTCGAACTCCACACCCAATACTCATACCAAAGCCACGTAACATGATTGGTAACAAAAGCATTATTTCACTAGTAGCGAAGGAGCGATACGAGAAGCTATAGAGGGAAGGGGAAGAGAAAGAAGAACATGGATTGAGGCTGTGAAACATATAGGATTGCCCATGAGGTTGATAAGTTGCCCAAACTTGGCAAAAATGTGAAAATTGATCCCTGTAGCCTACCCCACGTTTGATGATGATTTGTTATATAAATTGCATATATCCAGGCTATGAAGCACGGACACTTCAAAATAGGCATCGTAGTAGTGTCGGACATGCCGAGGACACGTCGAGGACACATACTGGACACACCATTTGGCATGACCCTTAAATTTATTATTTTTTTGCAGCGGACACAATAGGGACAAGCCAAACGGCGTGTCCCTTTAATTTTTTATTTTTTATTTTTTGCAAGGGACACACCAGGGACACGCGTGTCCAAATATAGATGATCTATTAATTTGTTTAGACGTAGTGATTTTTGTATATATATTGAATTAATGTTAGTTTTTATTAATTTTGATTGTTTAGTAACATAATATTAATCTATATAGCACATATATATAAATAAATTTTAAAAAAAAATTGCCGTGTCCTCTGCCGTGTCTATATCCCCATTTTTTTTAAATTAACATATCCCGTGTCTGTGTCCATGTCCGTGTCCGTGCTTCATAGTATCCAGGTATACACGCTTGCTGCAATAAAAAAAATTTATGCACAAACCATACTAGATAAGTGAAATATGTTCCATGATCAACATGTAAAACACCATGATGTGCTTGTTAAAATTTACCATCACCTACCACCAATTTACCATCACCTACCACCACCTACTCCTCACCTACTCCTCACCTACTACACTCACCCTCTCCTATATAATGAGCCACTCACCATTTGTAATATACAAAGACAACATACATCAATCAATAATACATAAATTCTTACATGGTATCAGAGCAGGTTTAGAACCTACTATTTTCGATTCACCGGCGGGCGGCAACCTCACCTTAGCCGTCCGCCGGACCTCAACCTATTCCGCTTATTTTCTACACATACCTTCCCATCATTGCCCAAATCCACCTGTACTCATCCTCATTCCAGAGGAAGTAAAGAGAACTCGGAAAGAAAACTCTCTCTCTGCTCGATAGTCGTTGGGTTGTCCCTTTCTCTCTCTAAACTCGGAGCTCGACTCAGCGAGTCAAGGGAAAGATGGGTCAGGAATCGTTCATATACAGCTTCGTGGCTCGGGGGACAATGGTGTTGGCCGAGTACACCGAGTTCACTGGGAACTTTCCAGCGATCGCGACTCAGTGCCTCCAGAGACTCCCTTCGGGCAACAACAACTTCACCTCCAACAGTTTAATGAATTTGGCGTTGATGGTGGGCCAGCTGCGGAGTCCCTTACACCAAAGTTCAATGTATTCTCAAAACATTTGTCAGTTCAAACTGGGCTGCAAGTGCCAGATATAGAAATCAAATTTCTAGTTGTTGCAGCCATAGCTATGAAGGGTCTTGGAAGCCTTCTTTTCATTTTTGGCAGCTCTCTCTCTCTGACTCTCGGTTAGAACAGCCTCATCTCCGAATCTATCTCTCATATTTCCACTTTCCAACCCCACAATCGTTTTTTAATCAACCCACTATCTCTATCTCGTCCCTATTTCTCTCTCAAGCTCACTAGATTTACACGCCCCACTCCAAATCACATTGACCATTACCCATAAAATATCATCATTCCACCATTTTGAAGTAAATAGTGCTGGTGGGCCCTACCACTAGCAAAAGCAATTTATAATCATAAGTTCTCTCTCTCGTGAGGGAGAAAAGGAGAGCCTGGAGCTAAAGCTTAAAACACATGCACACCACCACTACTACACCCAACTTTCTTTTTATTTTATTTTATTTTATCTTTCTTTTTCTTACAATAGAACCAAAACCAGTCCACTTGTCCACCCATCATCCACATCTTTGTTTTGACAAAAAAAAAAAAAACCCACCTTTATTTATTTTATTTTATCTTCTCTTTTCCATTTAAAAAAAAATAATAATAATAATAAATAAATAAATAAATATTCCAAACACCGTTCCTGGATTTAAACAAAACTGTGGGCCAAGAACCCACGTGAACCAATCTCCTTTTTCCCTCACTCTCTCGTTTTGATTTCACATATCTTCTACTTATTTCTTTCTTTTTTTTTTATTTCTCTTTCACTTTATTTTTCATCTTTTTTTCATTGTTATTTCTTTGCACAAAAAAAAAAAAAACAGAGGAAGAAGACGAACTGCACACCAACTTATTTTATTCATGTCGGGGCTCACCCCGATCACCATTTTACAATAATTTAATCTTAAGTAACTTGTTGAAACAAATATAAAATGTCTAGATATAAAAGAATGAGAGGCACCCGTATCAAAAAGAACTCTAATGGGTTCTTGAAAGAGATTAAAAGTACCTTGCACTTTGTCAGTTCCTGGCATAACTGCAAATGCCCTGGCTGGAGCTGCTTGACCCTGTCGTGCCTGCTGTCTCTGAGGGCAATCCTTGATTACATGTCCCAACTGCTGACACCCAAAACACTTCATATTGCTCGGTTGAGGTGCTACTGGTCTTATAGGTGGGAGACCCTCTAACTAAGGTACGAGAGGACGATAACCCATTCCGTCTTTAGCACACTTATCTCTGCTCGCGCATCCTTATACATGCGTTGGAGCAGAGCCAGCTGGGAGTTTAACTGTTGCACCTCATTTGTCCTGCTCTGCAGCCGGTGCGACAGGTTTGTGACCGCCGTCATGGTCTCCACACATGACTTCAAAGTATACTGATTGGCCTCAATATCAGTTTGCACCGCCATTTTTTGCTCCACCGACCGCATCGGAAAGTTCAACGGAGCAAAACCAGAGGTGTTTGGTTGAGGTTCACGGGCCACCGCACCAGGTATCTCTCCTGTTGTCTCGTTGAGGTCGGGAAAGAGAGTGAGCAGACCACGGGAAGATGAGGCCATGTTCTGGGTAGCTGAACGGGAAGAAGAGGCCATGTTTTTTGGGTTGCTGAGTGTTTCAGCGAAGCAGCGATTTCCGACTGGTACTTTCAGAGAAGGATTGGTTACAGAGTGTTACAGAGTATCTCTCTCAGCAAACGAACAGAGTATCTCTCTCAGCAAACGAAGAGTTTTTCAGAGGATTTTAGTAGGTTTTTTTGTTTTAGCCTCTGCCTCAGCCTCAGCCTCCGTCTTGGTTAAATAGCCGAGGCTGACACGCGCATCATGCGCCCCTTGACGCCAGACGACAAACCGGGCGCGCAAGCCAATGGGTGACGCGCCTCGCCATCATGTCCAGCACATCTTTTTATGACTTGGGCTCGCCTTTTGATGGCACGCCTTTTTATGGATTGGGCACGCCTTTTGATGGCACGCCTTTTGAAAGATTGGGCACACCTTTTGAGGGTGCGACTTTTTAAGGGTCCGACAAGACTCTGTAAACTGTCTCGACATTGATTCCGGTTAGCTCCTTTATGGGTCCGACAAGACTCCGTCAACTGTCCCGACATTGATTCCGGTTAGTTTCTACAAGGGTCCAGCAAGACTCCGTAAACTGTCTTCTGCAACGGTCCGACATGACCCCATAAACTGTCTTCTACATCGGTCCGACACAAGCCAGTGTCTTCTACATCGGTCTGCCATAACCATATAGTCTTCTACAACGGTCTGACACGACCATACAGTGTATCCTATCCTCTTTTATTTTTTATGTATTTTCTTGTTTTGTTACTCTCTCCAAACTCAAGTTGGTTAGTTCCTATCCCCCTTGAGTTTGCGGGGGGCTGTTAAAATGTTTTGTTACTCTCTCCAAACTCAAGTTGGTTAGTTTCTATCCTCCTTGAGTTTGCGGGGGGCTGTTAAAATTTACCATCACCTACCACCAATTTACCATCACCTACCACCACCTACTCCTCACCTACTCCTCACCTACTACACTCACCCTCTCCTATATAATGAGCCACTCACCATTTGTAATATAAAAAGACAACATACATCAATCAATAATACATAAATTCTTACAGTGCTCAGAGAACTACTTTTGTAATAGCAGATGATACAATGCTCAACTTAAAGTGGTCGTGCTTCCGTGACACATACAAATGGGATATAAGTACTAAATTAATTTTATCTATATATTTGAATGTATAATAACTTATTTATCTATTTGTAGGAGATAGAAGCAAAAATTATGGTTAATTAATGTTCACACCATGAAATTATACTTATTAATTGTTCATACCATACAGAATTCTTCTGAAACAGGACCATCATTTTCAGACATGGACAATTCCTGTACAACTTTCTCCAGTCCTTTGCTAATGGCTTGCATTTCCTCTGCCAAAAATTTCAGTTGTATCTGGAGGGAAATTAGACAGTGCAATCAATAGAAGCCATATGCTCTAAAATATTCTTAAGATGATTAATATTATTATTATTGGCATTAACAAGCAAAGATACCTTTGACGCAGATTCCAAGCTGGCAAGATCTTTTGAAAAATCAAGAAGTTCAGGAAGTTTATCAGCAAGCACCTGGAGAAATCAGGCAGAAGCAACATGACCCAAGCCTAAACTTTTCAACGGAGAAGTACTAGACTAGTGAGGAAGCTACCAGCACCACGGCCAAAACATGAAATATAGAGAAATATTAACCTGTGTTACTTGGAATACAAATCATTCTAACATGTGGAACGTGAAACGGGAAGGGGAGCGTAGTACATCACATGCTCTAAAATGTAATACGATAGGAGTAGACTTGTATAGGTTACATTATTGGAATTTAAGGTAATTCTAGACCCTTTTCTTCTTAAACAATTAATCATGTAAAAGCACATTTGTAAGGGCATTATGGTGCACATTTTGCATTTTATCCCGCCAAAATTCCACTCTCTATATTTTAGTTCATTACATATATTATTTTGCCTTCTAAGGAAACCTTTATGGAAAAAAATTGAGATCACCTTGAATAGCTAAATTCACCGTTTTGGAACAAAAATGTATCATGTTTGGAAATGTGTGTGCCAATACATAAGTCACTAGGGCATTAGTGATTTTTCGCAACACTGATTTAAACAGAAAATGTAAATGTACTACTATGTTTTTTTAACTAATTTACATACCTACGTTTGGGAAAGAAAAACACAATTAAATGTTTTAATAAAGGGGATATATGTGAAAAAAGATTCTTAGATGAACCCCCCTAGACCCTTGTTGGACCCACCTCAAGTCACCAACACTTCTGGTATGCTGATTGCATCTTACATACATGTATGATGTGCAACATGTTTTTCTGTATGTTGATACAAATTCATAAGTAAAACTTTGTTTATGAAAGGCACCAAAGAGGGAACTATCTATATGTCTATTACAAATACTCAAACCCTTTTCTTTTTTTTTTGGATAAATACAAATACTAAAAACCTTTAAGCTTATATACATGAATGAAAGAATCCAAATTCCCTATAAAATAGAGAAAGTTCCCAAGAGAAGTCCTGTTACACAACTAAAGAACCTTATATCATTGGAACGCAAAGGGTGTGCAAACAATGTATATTGGATGTATTATATGCAAAGCTATATTGCTAGGGATATCAACAATTGCCAATGTAGTCATTGGTCTTCATTTCTCTCACTTATTCTCAACTATTGTTACTTCCCCAAACTCTTAACAAATACAACCATTTAGAGTTTTACCATAAATTATCTTCATCTCTTCCACCTCACCTATTCATTTCATCGATCATGTATTGTATGTAGATGTTTCTTGACGGCCTAGTAATTTGAACCATAAATCATTCTTGGTTATTCGGTTGCCTCATCATTTATTAACTATCCACTACCTCAAAATATTTGGCTTTGATGCAGGACAGCGCTGTAAGGGCTGTTCTGGGTCTGTGAAAGTGCTAAAATTTAAGAAAGAAAAAAAGAAAGAAAGGAAGGAGAAGAAGAAGAAGATAGGTCTAGGAATCATTCACAGAATCCCTTAGACATCATACCTAGAGTTTTATTGCATCACGCAATCCATAAGGAAGCTTCAAAGCTCTCATTTTTCTTTAAAATATCAACTCCATTGAATTATTAGCATTACATGGCTTTATATAGAACTAAGAGACTTCTTAAACCAACTATAATAAAAAAAAGGAAACTATTACAATATTCTCAACTTCTAAAACTAATCTAGGACCAAATAAAAAACTAATCTAGGACCAAATAAAAAACATAAATAAAACCTAATTAAATAACTTAACCCACAAGACAACCCATGGGTGACCCCTACAACCCATACCCAGAAATTCTGCAAATTACCAAAATACCCCTAAGTTTAAAATCCTAGAAAACATAAATATAATTATAAAATAAGACTTTAATAATACTATAAACAAAATTATATAAGATTCTCATCAATTTCTCTTTGACAACATGCCAACGTCCAAATATCATTGCTTCTTTGAATTTAGCTTTCCTTGAGCTTTTTATACTCCGCATCACTTTTGTTCACACTCACGGGAAACCGTATACTAGGCAAGTACATAAGAAAAAAAGAAATGCAATTCCTCCACATGTTCTCTTTACATTCATGAACCTAAAATGCATGACAAACACATATTACATGCAGACAAATTTGAGTAGATGCTAGAAAATAGTTCACATGAAGAAGTTCCAAGAACTACTTCTATTTATCCACAGAGTTCTAAGAACTTTGTACCTTACAAAGATAATGCATGAGAGTCATCTTGTTGTTCCGGGCACGTGTTTCAGTAAGTTTAAGGAGGCTATCCAACCTGAACCCAATAGCAGAGCCTAAAAGAAGCATCAGGAATAACTCAGCTATATGTACAAAATTAAGAATGCCAGCGGATATGAATAAGTATAGTTCAAGTGCAACATGTTTAGTCCCTCATATGAGAATCTACGCAAGGAGCCACTACAAGAAGAGCAAGAAAACTGGAAGCAAAGTACAAATACATTTACTCAACTCAAGCTAACACTATCTTATCCTAATTCAAAATTGCCACATGAATTATAGACCCCTTTCAAATTTAGCTCAATCTAAAGCGACATCATCTCTGTGAACTTACGTTGTATAACTAAGTTACTAAAGAGAGAAATGCCTCCAATTAGCACAGCTGTCTCCACAGAAACAAATCATCAATGAGAAATTAACCTGCTAATGGTGGTTGATAAGTGGCTGGTTCGACTTTAAGTGGTCATGAGATAAAAAAATAACATCAATAAGAAAGCATCTTACATTAAATGCATCTTACATCAAGATGATGGTACAGGCTTGGAATATCTGAACATATTCTAAGTTAATTTCAAATGTGAAGTTGTGTCAGACATGTATAGTGATCAGAGACATGTACACTCATTACATTTCAAATATATACTGTTAGACTGATTAAATTTTCAAGTCATCAAATATCAACTATTAAGTTTCAATGCTACTTGATATAAAAATATGACATTGTCGGGGAATAAATTTCAAGTTATAGTCAAACCAGTACAAAATGTAACAAGGAAACAGTGAAAATTTTAGGGAAACACATGGATTCAATCATTACCAGTGTTAAGCAAACCTGCCACTATATATGCATTCAGCTATCTGGTTCAATGATAGATTCTCTTGATTGGTGGTTATATTGATTTAGATTTGCAAATGCGATGATTTTGAAGGGAAGTAATGGTTTTAAGGGTTCCCCTACTTCTTTTTGTCTCAATCCCTGCAAAATCCGTTAAAAACCTAATCTTGCAATGGTTGTAACCTTCCAATTGGGAGGCACAAAAAAGATTTTAAGCATTTCATTTTTAAAACACCTTCGAGTTTGAGGTGTGTGTTAGAATATATGTTAGAATTATTCTATTATTTGTTTTCTTATTTAGATTATATTGTAATTCCTTAATTAGTGCCATAGGGCTTTCTTTGTAACAGCTTTGGTTGATTAATATAAAAGGGTGAGATATCATTATCATCCCTTAAAGTTTGATTTCACCTAAACAAACATGGTATCAGAGCCGATTTGACCTACCCAACCAATTCCGATAGACCTACCCTCCTACCCATCACCATTTTGGTAGTCGGGAGGCATCAACTACCCTTGCCGGAGCTATGCATCAACTTTCAACTCATCCACAGGTTGTGTCGAGGCTGTCTCATGCCAGCCTAGGGTTCGTAAGTCACTCACGACCCTCCGCTGCGTGTCACACCTCATCCACAGCCTTGGTTGTGTGTCACGACATCTCCTGAGGCTCACCCAACCATCGTGATCACTCTCTGTGACCTCTCTCAGCCCTGACACCTTCCACCAATGCCTTGATTGACCTATTGTGCACTTGTTCCGTTTGGCGTTGTTGTTGACTTCTTGGGTTCTATTCAGACTACTGTTTTGATTGGAGGTTCGGTTCTCCTTTAATTTAAATTGTTTTTTTTTTTTTTTGGGGTCATTATATGGCCCCATAATTTTGATTGTTATGCTCCCATAGTGATCTCTATTTGATATTGCTAGTTCCAATTCAGTCCATTTCATCTTCCCATCATTGTGATTAGTGCAGAATTTTTTGGTTGTGATAGTAGAGTATAAATGGCTGACCCGTCTGGTGAATCTACCACTACTACTCACCCACCTAAAGGGGAGAGTCTCATTATGACTACTACACCTGAGAACCAGAATCCTAGTCAAAATCACCACCTGATGGTTAGAATTACGTTAGTCTAACACTTTTTTCTAAAGAGTAGGGAGAAGATGGGTTATGATGAT